CCTTCCTTCCTTCCTTCCTTCCTTCCTTCCTTCCTTCCTTCCTTCCTTCCTTCCTTCCTTCTTCCTTCCCCTCCCTCCCGCCTTCCCTCCCTCCCTCAAAAGAAAGGAAGGAAGGAAGGAAGGAAGGAAAGAAGGAAGGAAAGAAGGAGTCTGGCTTTCTTTCGAGACAGAATCTGGCTCTGTTGCCCAAGCTGGAATGCAGTGGTGCCATCACAGCTCACTGTAGCCTCAACCTTCCAGATTCAAGCAGTCCTCTCACCTCTGCGTCTTGAGTGGCTGGGACTACAAGCACATGTTACCACACCTGGCTAATTTTTAATTTTTTTGTAGAGATTGTCTCACTCTGTTGTCCACAGCTGGCCTTGGACTCCTGGGCTCAAGTGATCCTCCCACCTTGGCCTTCCAAAGTGCTAGGGTTGCAGGTGTGAGCCACCATGCCTGGCCCTACCATCATTTTTAACCTGGATTTCTGCAACTGTTTCTTAACTGGCATTCCCATATCCACTTTTGCTCTTTTGCAATTTGCAAATCTTTGGATGCCACAGGACAAGTGGTTTGGAACACAGGCTCTGGAGTTAAACTTGGCTTTGAATCATAGTCCACTACTTTCTAATATGACTCTGGGCAAGTCACTTAATGTCTGTAATCTAAACAAAATAATGCATGAAGAGCCATTAGCACAATGTAACTAGAAACTCACAGAAAATGCTGGCTTTAATGAATACCCTTCCACTGTTGTTAGACTTCTTTATGAATGTCACACTCCAAACTTGCTGAACTTCTTTCAGTTCCTCAAGTACATCAGGCTTTTAAAATGCTCAGATGTCACACAGGCTGTTCCCCTCCTTGGTCCCTCTGGCCTAAACTAGGCCTATTAAACTTTCAGTTTCCAGATGTTTGTAATTCTGGGTGTGACTGAATGAACTGTGGGCCTTTGGGTGAATGAGGAAAAGAGCTCCGTCTGGGGCACACACAGCTTTGAATCAAAGTGCACATCTTCAGTGGAACACAGGTTGGATTTTCACCCACATTAACCCCTCAGTTGTACAGTGAGCAATTTGCAAGGCTTTTGAAGGAGGACTTCCCTGAACCCTTAGGTGAGGGAGGTCTACCTGTAAGAACGTAGTCTCTTATGTCTTAGATCTTGGAGCTTCCCTCTTGGAAGGTTCATCACACTTTATTATAGTTATGTTCATAAATATCTGATTCCAGAGCCAATCTCTCTTTTTTTTTCTTCTTTTTTTTTTTTTTTTTTTTTTAGACGGAGCCTTGCTCTCTTACCAGGCTAGAATACAGTGGGCAATCTCAGCTCACTGCAAACTCCGCCTCCCAGGTTCAAGCAATTCTTCTGCCTCAGCCTCCCAAGTAGCTGGGACTACAGGTACGCACCACCACGCTCGGCTAATGTTTGTATTTTTAGTAGAGACTGGGTTTCACCATATTGTCCAGGCTGGTCTCAATCTCCTGACCTCATGATCTGCCTGCCTTGGCCTCCTAAAGTGCTGGGATTACAGGCGTGAGCCACTGTGCCTGGCCCCAGAGCCCAATCTCTTAATGGTTGTCACATGGCGCCTCTTGCTCCTTAGGAATTCCACCTTTTCCTCTAATACCATTCTTAGCAGAGGGTGCTGGGCCTCAGATGGAAGAAACACCCCAGCAGACACTCAATTTTCATGGAATTGCCTCCTGTAATGTATGAACATCCATGGCCATCCCACTTTTCTGACCCTAGTCCTGCTTTTAGATTTTTGGCTTCATTCTTTGGATCTGGTCATATGTTCACTCATACATATAATAAATACATGTGCTGGGAATATAAAGGTGACAAACACATGTTTATATCCTCAGGAGCTCCCAGTCCAGTGGGTAGGCACACTGGTCTAAATGATCAGAAGCTAACTTAACTCAGGAGTGAAAAAAAAATTGTAACTTTTTTTTTCTAAATTCAACTTTGCCCTCCAGCACTTACTTAGTACAGTGTCTGAAATAGTAAATGCTGAATAAATGTTTGTGAAATGAAAGCATTTAAAAAGAAGTACTTTGGAAAGAGATAGAAACTAGCATTTATTGATCCAGGCATTGTGCCAGGTCTCTTAAACATTCTATGGATTTTATACTTCACAACCATTTTGTAATGAGGGTAATACCAACTCCACTTTCTAGATGGGGAAATGGATTCTTTGTATATTCAGCTTACTCGAGTGAGCAGTTCTGGCACTTGACTTAAGAATGCCTTAAGAATTCAGAATTTTAAGGAGTCCCGTGGACCGAATTAGGTAGGAGAGGGAACATTATAACTGGCTAGGGTTAGTCACTGACACCTGTTAAATTTTTCCTGTGAAATATTAACTACTTGGAGAACTTTATTAACTTAATTAGTTAATTCAACAAAAAATTAATGGCAAGAAGGAATAGAGAGATTTGGGGTCAATTTGCAGCAGTTAACTCTCTCAGTCTAATGTATTCTTCAAACCACCCTTCTGAGTCCAATTACCAGGGTTGAATTTGCTTTCAAAGCTAAGATTGTCCATCTTAGCTAGATCATCCATTTCCCTGTCCTCCAACATCCAGTCCCCGGTCCTGTGATTCTGTCATTGCTTTCCACTTTGGCTTCTCCTACACACTCCTGTGACCAGTGCCTTTGTCCAGGCTCCCATCACCTCCCACCCTCTGTGTTGCAAAAGTTTTCTTTTCTTTGTACTTGACTCTTGTTTGCCCCTCATCCCTTCTCTCTGCTTCCTCTGTTCTGCTGCATGGAGGTAGATATGACAGCTGGAGACCATCTTGAACAAGGAGCTACATCCTAGGGAATGAGCTAAGCATTTCATAGAGCAGAACCTTAATATTGATCTTTTGCATGACAGAGAAAAAAAGCTTCTTGCTAGTTTAAACCATTGTTATTATATATACATATTTCTTACTGTAGTTATCTCCAACACTATCTAGCTAAGAATCACAAATACACTCATTTGTTCTCCTTACTATACATTTATTCCACTTAAATCACATATAATCATGTTTGCCCTCCTGCAAATGAGTATTACAAACAAAGCTGAAGCTACTATTTGTTCTTTCTCTCAATGGTAGCTACATCTTGGAAAAAGAAATGACCCGTGCAGCAGCTGCTTTTATGTTTAGAAGGTTCTTGACATCAGGAGGAGTGTTTCAGTAGGCATAGGTAATGGCTTATTAGGCTCTTCAGCCAAGGATCGGATGTGAGGGCAGACCAGTCAATGGGTTTTAAAACTCCATTCATGGAGTTATAAATTCATGCAGTGATTTACTCATTCAAAAACCATTTATTGAGCTCTCTCTGTGCTAGATACCAGGGAGTGCAAGACACCGGGGAAAGAAAGTTGAAATTCTTGCCTTCAAAGTGCTCATGGTTTAAAAAGAAACAGAAGGATGGTGATCTAAATGCTACAAAGAGGCATGGATTAAGTGTTGAGGGAGCACAGAGCAAAGAGTGATGTTCTCTGTATGATGATTGCTGGGAAAGAGAATTACGTCAAGGTGGGGACCAGAAACTTCATGGGAGCAGAGCCTGTCTCTTTTCTTCACCATTGTTCACTAGTATCCAGCACAGCACCTGGTACAAACGATTCACAAATATTTGTTGAATGAATGTATGAAGTGTGACCAGTAAAGAACAGAGACTGGTTGGGCAATTCCTGGACAGGACAGGGAAGGGGTCACCCCACGAGACTGATAGTTCCTGTAGGCAAAGGCTTCATCATGATCACAGCTGCTTCCTCAGCATCAAACAAGGAACCTGGAAAATGTCTGTTGAACTTGTTGTCCAAAGAATAGGTACATGGCTAATCCAAGTTCCGGAGTCGAGACAAGTTAACAGAGGATATCAAAACAAAGTTAGGAGTGAACACTGCCACATTTCAATTTTCTTCCAAGTAAAAACCGCCCCTACTCTCACCTCTTGGCCTCAACATTTCTGGAAACTGTGAATCTCTAGAGCAGAATAATTTTGCTTGCATTTCAAATAGAGAAAACCCAGGCACAGACCTTCTAAACACAAAATCACTCAGTTAAAGGCACAGCAAGCTCAAAAGCTACTATTTCTGAATTCCTAGATTGCAGAAAAAAAATTCTAGGTTGCCTAGAAAAAAGATAGCTATAAGACCAAATTTGATTTCCGGTGGAGAGAATTTATCTTCATAAGGTGAGTAAACTGCTATGTCTCTGGTTTATTCCACCACAATCTTTGCCCTCTTTTGTCACAATTATCATAAAAGTACTAACAGTAGGGTTTGAAGCCACTATTGCAGAAAGGTGAAATGTGTATGTTTTATTGAGGGTGAACAGGAAAAATAAACCTAAAAAATTTCAATCAATACTCGCTAACTCATGTACCTGGCTGTGGCCACAGCTTCCTTTACCTCTTGCTGAAGAGACATCCATAATATGAGTTTCTATACACAGCTGGTGCACATTTGCCAAAGAATGATGGACCTCTTACCTGCCATCACCAATACAGCCATTCCTAGTTCTATATCAGACTTCATTCCTTCTGTACCAAAGCAAGGCACATCTTGTTTTTAAATGAGGGCCCTCTTTCAACGCTGGGGGAAACACACAAACTGCCCGGTCACCCTTGGCTGCCTCTTGCAAGCCCAAGCCTGGCTTCTGCTGTCTGCCTGCCAGCTGCACACGGTCTTGCCCTCCATCTCCCTGACAACAGGTGTGACTTTTGGGGAGTCCATGCCTCATTTAGCTCTGGTAATGGCTTAATTGAGTCGGAAAAATGCAAAGACAGGAGCGTAATGAAAAGCAGCTGAGCTGGGTTCTTGTGAGTCATTGGAAAAAGCTATCAGGGAAGTGAGGGAAAGGGATGAATAATAGCGATGAAGAGCAGCATGGTGCAGAGCAAAACTGGGAGGCAGAAGCCTAGACAAAGCAAAGCAAGGCTGTAAATAGAGGAAGCTGACATTCATTAATGCCACATCCTGAGCTCCTTGAAAACAGGGCCAGGTCTGTCCCATCCATGGCCTGGAACATGGAGGGGCTCCATGATGATGGTTGAGTGGATGCATACTTGTGTGTACTGCCCACAACATAACAAACTCTGTGTCCATCATATAGAGCTGAGTAAGTTGCTGGGGACACAGGCAACAGGAAGTTAAGAAACTTCTTGTCCTGAATTGTTTCCTTCATGCCTTAAGTCAGCTCTGCTGATGGATGCATGAACACCTACACAGTTAATGAAATGGCTCATTTGAAAAGCGAAGATATGCAACTCATGTTTTTATAAAGAAAAATGCCAGAGCCTCAAGTCCTACACAAAAGAAACATTTCCATGGAATAACATCCTGGGATTGCCTTTCCAAATCATAATGAACCCTGACTACCAGGGTGGCGTTTTTCAGTCTGGTGTCCCAAGATGTGTCACCACGAAGTGTTTTGGGGTAAAACAAATTTCGGAACTAATGCATACTTTGCCACAGGGACACATATGCCTCCTTAAAGGCTCTGAGAAGTCCTGCAATAAAGATTACTACTTATTTTGCTATGGGACATTTTTTCTTCCCTGAAGGAGACTTTTTATGATGCTGTGAAACATGGGCTTGGAAGTGCTGACTGAGTGGAAAGCATAAAGTTCACAACCTGAAATTCTCCCATTTCTTTAGATGTATCTTTGGGGAGATATGTCTGCCCCTCAATGGGCATAGCAGTTTTTGTATTCCCAGGTATGAAATTCCAAAGGGTAGTATTGGAAAGAAGGACTCAGGTGGGGTGGGTGATGCTGATGCAAACTTTGAAGTCATTCTCTGGTCTCAGGTATATGTTTCTGTTCTCTTCTGCTCCAAGGGATGGGTTTCTGTTGTATATAGGAAGTTGTACACTGAGCCTTTCCCCACCCACTTGCACCTCTCCTGACCTCACCCAGTGTCTCTGTTTGAGGACCACTGGGGACATGTGGTAGTGTGCTGGTAAACTGGATTCTAAAGGAAAAGCAAGCCCTGACTTGTAGTGTTTGCTAAATATTCCCACCATGGTCAGTTTCAAGCTACCAATGGTTTAACAACATATTTGTAAAAATTCTGGATATTTAACCATTGGCTCTCAAGAGCCGGTAGAAGCCTGTTCTAGCATATCATGGGGACATCTTTCTAAGCACATGGAAATTCTGGTTTTCTTTGGAAAACTCAGCCCAAATTGTTTTGTAGGCATCACAAATCTTTCTTCTCCTGTTTCCCTCTTTGTTTTGAGTGTTAGGAAGCTGTGAGCCAAATTTGTGGCTCAACTGTAGCTAAAATAGAAACCGAAAGCATGCATATTAGTGTCCTAATATTACCTGGGAATTATTTTAAATTATTGCACGTTTTACTCTGATTTTCTCACCACATTAAACCCTTCATTTTTATTGAAAGCAATAGGGCTATAAACAGAAAAACAAACTAATAAATCTGGAGTTTTGCTGTGAGCAATAAAAACTGTCCCTAGTTGAAACTCCCTGTGTAATTAACAGGAAATGGGGCTGGAAAAGTCATTCTTGCTTTATTAATTGAGTGGGTAGACACACCAGGTCATTAATCTAAAATACATAATTTTGGAGGTAGAAGGGACCTGGGAAGTTTACCTGGTTTACACTGAAACCTTCTGACTCATGAATGTCTGAAACATTGCGGTCAATTTCATCGTGAACAGGAGTTGGAATTCACAACTCATTGCAGAACTCTGTGAGGTTTAGTAATCAAAAGGCAGCCTTCTTAGTGAAAAGGGAAGTAATTTTTTTCCCACTGATTTGTCAGTGAACAGTTTGTCTTTAAAATGTCAGTTTAGGTCTTCAGAGGACTACACTTACTTTCAACTACAGCACAGAATCTATTTATTATGAGAATTCTTTTAGTTTTAATTGGATCACAGGTGCACAAAATTGGATTAATCATAATCCTTGGTTGATGATACATCCTCATTCTTGGTCTAGACCTGACTCACTTTTATTTCTCGAGTTACTTTTAATAATTAACCTACCACCTAAAAGAAAACATCCACAGTATGTAGTAACATAAGTAAACTACTGGTGGGTTCCTGTCTTGCATCTTGTTCTTGTGCCTCTTCCTACCAAAGAAGCCATTATCCCGAACCACATGCTGATCACTCCTCGCTTCCCTCCCTCCCCATCCTTTTAAAAACTTCATAAATCATAAGACAGAAAGACTGGTAGGATACACACCAAAATGTTAAGGATGATTAGATCTTAGTGATGGAATTCTGGTTTCTTCCCTGTTTTATTTTTTTGTTTTTGAAATTTAATAAGAAACGTGTACACTTGGTCCTTCATACACGTGGGTTCTGCAGCCATGGATTCAGTCAACTGCAGATGGAAATGTTTGGAAAAAATGAATGGCTATATCCATACTGAATATGTACAGACTTTTTTCCTTGACATTAATCCCTAGGCAATAAAGTATAACAATTATTTATGCAGCATTCACATTATATTAAATATTATAAGTAATCTAGAGATAATTTAAAGTATATGGGAGGATGTGGATAGGTTATAGGCAAATACTATGCCATTTTATGTAAGAGACTTGAGCATTTTATGTAAGAGACTTGCAGATTTTGGTATCTCAGGGGGATCCTGAATTAATCCTCCATGGGTACCCGCAGATGACTATACCACTTTATGTGGGAAGTAGAAAAGTTCCTTTTTAAAGTTTCCTTTTTGTTAAATCATCAGTGTGCTAATAACTCTTTGTTAAGCCTTATCCTATGTAGCTGTTAGACATGCCATGCTTACAGGCAGGTAGTACATTCTATGTCCTCGTACTTTAACCAAGATATCTGTGCTGGATGTGCTCACAGGCATGTCCCAGCTCTCCATTGCTTTTACCTGTTTAGAGAAGTTTTAAGTTGTTAGCCAACTGGGTTTTAGTTTAGATTGTGAGATCTGGCTCCAGGCAACGGAGATTGGACACAGCAGTAAGGATAACCCCAAATGCATAAGGAATAAATTTGTGTGTATTCCCTTTGTTCTCTGTACTCTGGTGGCACAATGGCTATGGGAGTACCCTTCCTGCAACCCAGAAAGTAAAAATTGCGTTGCTGAAAGACCCTTTGTCTCAGTGCTAATTTTTCTTTGCGGCACTGAGCATCTATTTCCAACACTTTAAATCCGAAAATGTGTTGTAAAATGTTATTAAAACAATGGCTATATGAATGGAAATAAACGTTAAACATGAAAAACACTGCAAAAAAGATGTGACTTAAGTTTTACTACTTATTCATACTGAACATCCTTTGAAATTTATTTTGAAAAATATGCTTATTGATACTTTCCTTCTTTCCTTTTTGTTATTTTTATCTATTTTTACTTTTGTCTCTTTATCTCCTTTATCTTTCTCTCACTCTTAAAATAAATTTTTTATTTGCTTTAATTGAAGTAAAATAGACATCAGATATGCACACGTCATAAATGAATTTCCACAATGTAAACATTCACATAACTAGCATCCGAATCAAGAAAGAGACTCAGAACTCTAAAGCTCCCACTCACACCTCCCTTGAGTCATTATCTTTCCCAAAGATGACCAGTACTCTGACTTCTACCATCAAAAATGGGGTTTTTGGACTTTATATAAGGAGAACTGGCTTCTTTTGTCCAACATATTTGCAACATTCATCTATATTGTTGTATGTAACCATAGTTTGTTTTTTCTCACTACTGAATAGTATTTTCCTATGATTCTACCATATATTACCTATCCATTCTCCTGTTAATGAACGCTTTGGGGTTTTAATGAACAGTGCTGCTATGAACTTTAAAAAATTTTTGTTGGTACATAGAAGGTACATATATTTATGGGATACCTGAGATATTTTGATACAGGCATGTAATGCATAATAATTACATTATGGTAAATGGGGTATCTATCCCCTCAAGCATTTATCTTTTGTGTTACAAACAATCCAATTATATTCTTTGTTATTTTAAAATGTATGATTAAATTATTATTGACTATAGTCATCCTGTTGTACTATCAAATATTAGGTGTTATTCATTCTTTCTAACTACTTTTTGTACCCATTAACCACCCCTACTTCCTCCCCACTCCTCGACTACCCTCTCCGGCCTCTGGTTACCATCCTTCTACTTTCTGTGTTCATGAAATTGTTTTAATTTTTAGCTCTTACAAATAAGTTAGAACATGCAAAGTTCATCTTCCTGTGCCTGGCTTATTTCACTTAACATAATGACTTCCAGTTCCATTCATGTTGCTGCAAATGACAGGATGTCATTCTTTTTTGTGGTTTAAAGTACTCCATTGCATTTATGTAACACATTTTTTGTAACCATTCATCTTTTGATGGACACTTATATTGCTTCCAAATCTTCGCTATTATGAACACTGCTGCAACAAACATGGAAGTGCAGATATCCCTTTGATATGTTGATTTCCTTTCTTTTGGGCATATATACCCAGCAGTGGGGTTACTGGATTGTATGATAGCTCTATTTTTAGTTTTTTGAGGGACCTCTAAACTGTTCTCCATAGTGGTTGTAGTGATTTTAATTCCCACCAACAGTGTATGAGAGTTCCCTTTTCTCCACATCCTTGCCAGCATTCATTATTGCCTCTCTTTTGGATAAAAGTCATTTTAACTGGGGTGAGATGATAACTCATTGTAGTTTTGATTTGCATTTCCTTGATGATCAGTGACAATGAGCACCTTTTCATATTCATGTTTGCCATTTGTATCTTCTTTTGAGGAAGGTTTATTCAGATCTTTTGCCCATTTTAATTGGATTATTAGATGTTTTTCCTGTAGAGTTGTTAAAGCTCCTTATATATTCTAGATATTAATCCCTTGTCAGGTGGGTAGTTTGCAAATATTTTCTCCCATTCTGTGGGTTGTCTCTTCACTTTGTTGATTGTTTCCTTTAACTTGATATGATCCCATTTATCCATTTTTTATTTGGCTGCCTGTGTTTCTGGAGTGTTACTCAATAAATTTTGCCCACTCCAATGTTCTGGAGAGTTTCCCTAATGTTTTTGTTTAGTAGCTTCATAGTTTGGGGTCTTAGATTTAAGTCTTTAATCCATTTTGATTTGATTTTTGTATATGGTGAGAGACAGAGGTCTAGTTTCATTCTTCTGCGTTTGGATATCCAGTTTTCTCAGCACCATCTATTGAAGAGACTGTCTTTTCTCCAATGTATGTTCTTGGCACCTTTGTCAAAAATGAGTTCACTGTTGGTGTGTGGATTTGTTTCTGGGTTCTCTATTCTGTTCCACTGATCTATGTGTCTGTTTTTATTCCAGTACCATGCTGTTTCGGTTACCATACTTCTGTAGCATAATTTGAAGGTTGGTAATGTGATTCCTCTGGTTTATCCTTTTTGCTTAGGATACCTTTGGCTATTCTGGGTCTTTTGTGGTCCCACATAAATTTTAGGATTGTTTTTTTCTATTTCTGTGAAGAATGTTATTGGTATTTTTATAGGGGTTGCCTTAAATCTTTGATTGCTTTGGGCAGTATGGACATTTTAACAATATTGATTCTTCCAATCCATGAACATGAAATATATTTCCTTTATTTGTGTCCTCTGCAATTTCTTTCATAAGTGTTTTATAGTTTTCATTGTAGAGATCTTTTACTTATTTGATCAATTCCTAGGAATTTAATTTTACTTGTGACTGTTTTAAGTGGGATTACTTTTTCTGTTTTTTTTTTTTTTAGGTTGTTCACTGTTAGCATATAGAAATGCTACTGGTTTTCATACGTTGATTTTGTATCTTGCAACTTTACTGAATTTGTTTATCGTTTTGAACAGTTTTTTGTTGGAGTCTATGTTTCTCCAAACATAAAATCATATCTTCTGCAAACAAAGCTATTTTGACTTCTTCCTTTCCAATGTGGATGCCCTCCCTCCCTCTCTCCCTCCCTCTTTCTCCTTCCCTCCCTCCCTTTCTTTCTTTCTTTCTCTTTCTTTCTTTCTTTCTTCTTTCTTTCTCTCTCTCTTTTTTCTTTTCTTTCTTTTGTCTGATTGAGCTAGCTAGGACCTCCAGTACTATGTTAATAACAGTGGTGAAAGTGCGGGCAACCTTGTCCTCTTCCAGATCTTATAGGAAAGGCTTCCAGTTTTTTTTGTTGTTGTTGTTTGTTTTTTTGAGATGAAGTCTCACTGTTGCCCAGGCTGGAGTGCAGTGGTGTGATCTCAGCTCACTGCAACTTCAAATAATTCTCCCACCTCTGACTCTGAGTAGCTGGGAATACAGGTGAGCACCGTCATGCCTGGCTAATTTTTGTATTTTTAGGAAAGAAGGGGTTTCACTATGTTGGCCAGGCTGGTCTTGAACTCCTGACCTCATGATCCACCTGCCACGGCCTCTCAAAGTGCTGGGATTACAAGGGCTTCCAGTTTTTTTTTGGTTTTTTTTTTGGCAATCAGTATGATACTAGCTGTGGGTTTGTTTTATATGGCTTTTATTATGTTGAATTATGTTCCATGTATACCCAGGTTTTTGAGGGCTTTTATCATAAAGTGATGTTGAACTTTACTGCTTTTTCAGTGTCAGTTGAAAATGATCATATGATTCTTGTCCTTTGTTCTGTTGTTATGATGTATCACATTGATTGATTTGCATATGTTGAACAATCCTTGCATCCGTGGGATAAATCCCACTTGGTCACAATGGGATTTCAGCTGGGGGTATGGTGACATAAGCTTCCCTGTGGCCACGACCACTGGGACTGTCCTGGGTTAGGCCTGAAGGCATCACAGCACTGGGTCCTGCCCGAGGCCTCCTGTAACCACTACCTGCTAGCAGCTATGTTCTACCTCAATGTCCTAGGGCTCTGCAATCATCCGTGAGGAAGCCAACCAGGCTTGTGTTCTTTCCTTAAGGGCAGTGAGTTACCCCAGGCCCTGGGTGGGTCCAGAGACATAGTTGGGAGCCAGGATTTGAGCCAACGACCTTAGAAATCCACCTGACATTCTATTCTACTGCATCTAAGTTGGCCCTCAAACCACATGACAAAGTCCTTCTCACCGTTCCTTCACCTTTCCACAGGTAGAGCAGCCCCTCCTGGTGGCCACCACCACCACCGGTTCAGGGGCAATTCTGCTAGGCCATTGGAGATGTTCACTTAAAGCCCAGGGGCACCTCAGTTAGCTTGCAGTGAATGCTGCCAGGCGTGGGACTCACCCTTCAAGGCAATGAGTGGGCTCCCCTCTAGCCCATGGCAGGTCCAGAAATATTGCCTAGGAGTCTACACTTGAACTCAGGGACCCAAGAGCCCATGGTGCTCCATGCCCTTGTGGCTGAACCGGTACCTACATTACCAGCAAGAAAACATCCCCTTTACTTATCTCAAGCAGAAGGAATCTTTCGTCATAGCCACCATAGCTGGGAAGTAGTAAGTCACACCTGAAGCCAGCTTGTCTCAGAGTCTCACCCAA